TCAGAGCACTCTGTGTCTGCCACACCCTGGGGTGTTGAAAACCAGTACAGCCCAATGCTGGTCTTCCTGAACAAAGCAGTACCAGGCTTCCTCCCAACCTCAGAGAGAGGTGTCCCCATGTTCATTATCTCCCCTCCCAATCCTCACAGCGAGACCATCCAGCTCCTCGAGAGCACAAAGCTTTTGAGCACTAGGGCCCAGAGGCCTCTGCTTAGCAGCCAGGAAACACACAACCCTTTGGATTTTGAATTGCCAGAACAGCGTTTCGCAGCACGCCACAGTAAGAAAAGTCCTGGCGAAGCTGCCAACAAGAGGTGTCCGCTAAGGAGAAATGGGGAGGATGAGATCTGGCTCACCCTGCTACGGCTGCTGACAAAGAACTCTGGAGACACCTTGTTTTTTCCTTCTGCAGCGGAAGCGTGAGACCCCAGATGAACCCAGATGCCCAAGTTTCTGAAGCTGTAGTCAGGTGAGATTGTTACCCGAACGGAGCTGTCCTGAGACACTGCTGCTAGAGATGTGCGTTGCATAGCCCTACCCTTGCTGGTTTAAAGCCAGACAAGAAATTAGTCTAAACATCTGAACAATGCGCCTTTGTCTAATAAGCAGGAGATGGTTGTGGAGAGCAGGAGTTTAACTGATGCATGACTAGCCCAGCTAGTAAACCATGAAGAAATGCTCAGACTTCCCAAAAGAAACAGGTAGCTAGGGGAACGGTAATTCTGGCAGTGGGAGATTGCGACCACCAACTCACGGACCAGGCACCCCAGTTATACCCCAGACTCAAAAGACGAAGAAAATGAGCACGAGTACTAATTTACATGCTGAACAACAAGACTTTTACCAATCATTTAACAGAATAATAATGCATATGTATTAGGAAGTTGAATATGTTAATGCTTTGTGTATAAATAATTGTTGATTTGGAAGCCTGGTGTGCTGTCTTAGACAGACACCCATATTTGTGCAAATATGCAATAAAGCACCTCTGCTCTGTGTGTATATTGGCATACTGCACATCAGGTAAGCGAACCCCAGGTTTGGGGACAACAAGATGATGTCCCATGAAAGGACGGGAAGGGGAGGAAGCTACACGGGCTGCAGGACTTCACAGGGGGCAATGGAAGAAACTTCAAACGGCCTGTCTAGGCAGGACAGCATGCCCATGCGGGTCGTGCGGCATCTCTCCCTTACTGAATCCTACCTGTAGGTAAGAAAAAAGCTTCTGTCTACAGGACTACTTGACAAGCACCTTTTTCCAGAACCAAATTAACAATAAACCAAAATCCTGCTGTGGTGCTCATCAGTCCGCTTTCCCGGAGGCTCTGCCGCTGTCTCTCCCATCCCTCTCTACTTCCAGAGCTCTCAAGAGATGAAAGCACCGCCTTGGCCTCAGGAACATGTCCTCTGGAAGGGGCTCTCCTCCTCCATGTTTCCATTCCTTCTTGTTCTTCTCCCACTGCCTTCAGCTGGGAGTCGATCTGCAGACAACTGCGCTGGAATGATCCCCTCTTCACATTTTGTGGTCCTACTGCCCAGCACTGACAGGGTTTGTGCTCGCTAGTGGCACATCGCCCCGTTTTGCAGGGTCTGCAGCAGCTAGTCTTTTATCTCTGTTGTTACTACCTTAGGCTAGTTGCTAGCTCATCTAAGGCAGATGCATTAAACAACTTGTTTTCCCAGAGAAAACACCTCTTATTTAACAGGGTTATATCTGAAGACTGCATGCATCTTTTGAAAAAATGCGCCTTTGTCTAATAAGCAGGAGATGGTTGTGGAGAGCAGGAGTTTAACTGATGCATGACTAGCCCAGCTAGTAAACCATGAAGAAATGCTCAGACTTCCCAAAAGAAACAGGTAGCTAGGGGAACGGTAATTCTGGCAGTGGGAGATTGCGACCACCAACTCACGGACCAGGCACCCCAGTTATACCCCAGACTCAAAAGACGAAGAAAATGAGCACGAGTACTAATTTACATGCTGAACAACAAGACTTTTACCAATCATTTAACAGAATAATAATGCATATGTATTAGGAAGTTGAATATGTTAATGCTTTGTGTATAAATAATTGTTGATTTGGAAGCCTGGTGTGCTGTCTTAGACAGACACCCATATTTGTGCAAATATGCAATAAAGCACCTCTGCTCTGTGTGTATATTGGCATACTGCACATCAGGTAAGCGAACCCCAGGTTTGGGGACAACAAGATGATGTCCCATGAAAGGACGGGAAGGGGAGGAAGCTACACGGGCTGCAGGACTTCACAGGGGGCAATGGAAGAAACTTCAAACGGCCTGTCTAGGCAGGACAGCATGCCCATGCGGGTCGTGCGGCATCTCTCCCTTACTGAATCCTACCTGTAGGTAAGAAAAAAGCTTCTGTCTACAGGACTACTTGACAAGCACCTTTTTCCAGAACCAAATTAACAATAAACCAAAATCCTGCTGTGGTGCTCATCAGTCCGCTTTCCCGGAGGCTCTGCCGCTGTCTCTCCCATCCCTCTCTACTTCCAGAGCTCTCAAGAGATGAAAGCACCGCCTTGGCCTCAGGAACATGTCCTCTGGAAGGGGCTCTCCTCCTCCATGTTTCCATTCCTTCTTGTTCTTCTCCCACTGCCTTCAGCTGGGAGTCGATCTGCAGACAACTGCGCTGGAATGATCCCCTCTTCACATTTTGTGGTCCTACTGCCCAGCACTGACAGGGTTTGTGCTCGCTAGTGGCACATCGCCCCGTTTTGCAGGGTCTGCAGCAGCTAGTCTTTTATCTCTGTTGTTACTACCTTAGGCTAGTTGCTAGCTCATCTAAGGCAGATGCATTAAACAACTTGTTTTCCCAGAGAAAACACCTCTTATTTAACAGGGTTATATCTGAAGACTGCATGCATCTTTTGAAAAAACTAAATATGGTAAGGAAAAGAAATCTGTTTAAGGAAATCTGCAAAAACTTCATATATCACTTACTATTAATCAAATATGAACTGAGATGCCAACCAGGTCACAGCAGTACGTAGTGCAAATCTTTCTTCTTCTCATCAGAGGATGCTGTAAATGTGAGAGGGAGAGCACTTACAAACGGGCAAAGACTGGAGCCACTGCACCAGGCTATGGCGAGCAATCTGTAGGTGGTTCCTGATGCCATTCTGCTACCGAGTGAGTTTTACACGAAAGATCTCCAGAAGAGTGTGTAACCACCCCCCTGACATTATGAGGATTGTCAGTCAGCCAAAAAGCTCGTAATAAAATAAAAACAACTAAAGGATCATGACACTGTAGGTCTGTCGACTGAATATCTTTTTCTGTTTATCTGGCTCTGTATTAATAACTTATGGATGTGACCAACTTAGCAGCAAGCTGCGAGCCTGAGTACTTCCACCTGCAGAACGCAGGAGGTTTCATGCAAAGCCTTTTTTTTTTTGGCAAAAGCAAGAACGCTGAGTTATTACATCATTTGGGGCAGACTCCGGGTACGCGTCACCTCAGCAAGTGGCTTTGTTTACCAGAAAGTGCACGGTAAACTCTGGGGAACTGCTGGACTTGCATTTAATGTGGATTTAGATATAGGTACTTCTGTATAGAAAAGAAGAAGTAGTTTGGACTCTGGATGTTTTGCATTTCCTGTATATTTGTACCTTTGTATGTCATTAAAATTATCATTAACCCATTTTCTAAATCCCAGTCGAAATGCAGCATGACCATTTTTCAGCTTTCTGTTGGCTATTTTTATCTGAATAATTAAAAATACATGCATATGAAACTCAAGCTGTCCAGAGAGCTCATTAATATTACAACAAAACCAATCCTGGCAGTAGTCAGCAATTATTTCAGAAAGATCTTGGAGAGCCTGCCGGCGATGAAAAAGCTTCTTTTCACCCTCTTATAAACTCGGCCCTCGCCACAAAAACCTATTAAAATATGCTTCTGCAGACAAGGGCTCAGTAAGCTTGGGCTATTTCAAAGAGAAGGAAAGTGTTTCTGTCGCACCCTGCGGGCACACAAAGCGAGAGCCCTTCCCGAGCAGGTGTCACTTCAGCTGGGGACAGCCCGTCACCACTCACCGGCACGGTGCGGCGCTTTCCATGCAGGCAGAGCAACCCACAAAACTCACCTGTACCGACTAACGGGAGTTGTTAAAAGCTTTGTGCTGCCCAAACTCTGGGCGCTTGGAAGAGAGAGGGCAGGGAGGAGAAGCCATGGGTGATACCAGCGTGGGAGGCAAGTGGAAAATGGGTGACCCTATCTGCTGAAGCCCCGGGGAAGATCTGGCGAGTGAAGCTCTGCTGTTCAAACCCAGTTAGCACCACTATGGGAAAGCAAAACCCAGGGCGCCGCACTGGGCACTAGGCATGAGCCCTGATTTTAGTTAGTTTTCAGCCAAAATACGGACAGGACAGCTTCTGCGGTGGGACTCCGCGAAGACCCATCGCAACTGCTGGGCTTAGACTGCGGTTTCAGTGCCCGCCGCCAGCCCCGTGAGCAGCCCGCCGTGCTAACCACAGGCTTTTTCAAAGAGGTGCAAAGACATCACAGAAAAAAAAAAAAAAAGGATTAATGTAATGAGGAACAAGAGTTTTTATACCAACATACAAAATCCAGTAATGTTAATGAGTTTATTAGTGCCTCCCTGCCCCCAAATCAAACTGCAGACTTCAGCAGAAAAATTTGACTTGCTATATACAAAGTAGGCTTAGATTTATGTTCACTGGAAAAGTCTACTTATTTTATTCTGTTATTCTCTCTTCCTTTAGGCAGCTGCACTAGAACAGATCACAGATAAAAGTGTAATTTAATGTATTTAGAACTTGTTGTGCTCTGCACAATGTATCTGAGGGATCATGGTTCCAGACCGTGCTGCGCTCGCTGTGTGTTTGCAGCCAGACAGGCATGTGGGCGTAGCACTGTTAGCTCTTATTTTCCCCTCTCCAAAAAAGGAAAAGTGGTTAATTTAGCAAAGATGCAGAGGCGGATTCCCGCCTGCCGTGAGAGAGACAGAGAGGTGGCTGTCAGTCCGGTGGGCATCACCTGCGAGCTTGAAGAATCGAGCGAATGTGGGAAAACCGGAACGCATGCCAGGAAGCAGCCCGGGCCTGCAGCATCTGCGACGCGCAGAAGCAGAGAGCAATACTCACCGCTGGACAAAGCGCTGCTGCTTGGGTTCCTGGGCTCTCTGATACAAGTCACTTTTCAAAGGCAGCAGTGCTGCCTCATGAGTCTTGGCACCTTCCCCAGGGGAATGCTCACTGCCTTCTTCCACAGCCACAGAAAAGGCGGCCTGAGGACACGCTCTTTGCTGTTTTTCCAGCAGGTAAGCTTGGCTACCAGACTGCCAGGCCAAATGGATTCAGTACCTGCTGGCAGGAGACTCTGAAAGTGTGAGGAAGAGAGGCTGGCATAGCACCGCCAGTGAGTCAAGTGTGTGGGACAGGTATCAGGGTACAGAACTTATGTTTCATCCACATTCTTTATTTGCTGGTGTTCAACTCTGTCTGCAAAGAAGTGACATTCTGAGCTGCAGCTTTTAAATGCTCAAGTCCAGTCTGTGCCACGCAGGTCATAACCAACCTCTTAAAATCTGGTTTATGAGCAGGACGGCAAGGCTGCCGGGGTGTCTGTGGGAATCTGTATCCGACACACCATGAGGCACACGGGCTCTGCTGCTGAGGCTCCCTATGCCGTGTCCTGGGAGGCACTGCTGCGTGCCAGACCCTTGCAGCCTCTGGGCAACACTGCACCCAGAACAGGAATAACGCGGCATGAGGTCCTTCTCCAAAAGGAGGGTGGCAGTCTCCTTACCAAACAAATGTTAAACACCTGCCTAGAGCGGTGCTCTAATAGTCCTGGTGCAACCCGTTTGCCTTACAGTCTCCCTTGCATCTGTACAGCATCTCAACGCCAGCAAAAGGCACAAGCCGGACAACCAAAACACAGCATCGACTTTTGGAGCATAAATTGCAGTAAAGCTTCCTTAAAACACCAGGTTTGCTTACCTTGTCCGGGGCAGCACTGGGAGGTGAATGATTTACTCCTTCCTTCCCTCTCTCTTCTCCCTCACAGGTCTTCCCTGCTTGTGCTGGGCACTGATTCAAAACGCAGGTTTTAGGATAGCTCATTTGCCTCTGAAAGTCAAGCAGTGGCAGCAGCTGGGATGTGGATGCCCAGGACCTTTCTCTGCCCTCACAGAAGCTTAGATCCCATCTGTAACTGGATCCCTCTTATCTGTAACACAGCAAGCAATTCCCTTGTGGTAGCAAAAGCTGAGACCCGCTACCAGGCTGTGACCGTTCAGATTTATTAGGCTGTCTGCCACTTGACACTAATCTTCAGCCTGAGATTTGCAGGTGCTGTAGCATAGAAAAAGTGCTTTTCTATGTCTCTTCACTGCCCTGTCATAGGGATTTAGCAAAGCCTCATGCTGCAAATGATCAGCTGTGGCACGAAGCGGCTGCTGCTCTCACTTTCCACTCTTACTCCATTACCTGTGCATCGTCTGTAGCGTGTAGTGACCCACAAGCTGTGAAGAAGGTGCTTAGCCAGCACGTCGCTAAGGGTGAGGGCGAAGGAGGGCAGCAGGTTCTGGAGGGAGAAATCTGTGGAACAAGATTTGCTGGGTCCCTGGGACCTCTCTGATCCCATTAATTCCTGAGAGCAGGGTGTCAGGACAGTATGGTACACGCGCTATGTATGAAACACTGGCCTCTCGCGCTGTAACCTGTCGTTACTGAATACCCAACAAGTTCAAAAGTGAGGAATAAACCAAAACGCTGCAAGGAGTTACCACAGAAGAGTGTCAGTGCACAGCAGCCTTCCAGGTGAGTGCAGGCAGGAGGCACAGACCATTGCTCTCTTTGGTGCTGCACAGCAGAACTGCCCACTGCTGGCACTTGGGGAAGCTGGCACACGGGTCTCAACTCCACGGCTTCGCTCAGGGCTCTCGTCTTACTCCTTCGTCTAATCTGTCCCAGACACTGAGGTAAAGCGTCTACAAAGCCCGGGTCTTAGACCCCATTTAGACTGGATATTAGGGAAAATTTCTTTACTTAAAGAGCGGTCAGGCACTGGAACAGGCTGCCCAGGGAGGTGGTGGAGTCACCATCCCTGGAGGTGTTCAAAAACCGTGTGGATGTGGCATTTTGGAACATGGCTTAGCAGGCATGGTGGTGTTGGGTTGGCGGTTGGCCTTGATGATCTCAGAGGTCTTTTCCAACCTTAATGACTCTATGATCTATCCCCTACCAGGCACTGAAAGTTGCTCCATTTCAGTGAAGAGCTGGGTCACTTCCATCGCCCCGACGGCATAACTCGCGGGAGCTCTGCGGAGCAGCTGCGCGGACACCACGGCACCTGAGGAAGGACGAAGCGTTTGGGCAGCGGTATCAGTCAGCAAACAAGGGGCACCGTCAGCGTCTCAGGGCGAGCGCGGCGCGGGGGGCTGCGGGGGTTCGGCAGCAGGTAAGGCGCAGCCCGGCCCT